GATTAAAATAGAAAACAGTTATTTTAAACTGTAATAATAGTTTTTACTGTATTTTCATCAAATAGATGCACCCTTGGCGAGCACAAGGGTATATCTTTCAAAAATATTTGACCCCAAGATTTTGAATGGCACTGTAGTTACTTAACATGAATATTCAGTCAGATATGTCAAATATCGTAATCGTTTGATGTAGAAATTAAAAGTTAATTTGAGACTCGGTAAGTGCTGATATTCCATTTTCTGGATAAATATTACACCGACTGAAGTCATCATGGGATGAATGGAACACTAAGAGACCACATCAAAGTAACTGAATCTGCAGAATTGACAAGAACCCACATATGGCGCTGAACTATCGAATGACCCAAATCAATTTAAGATCAATGGTTAACAAAAGACTGTCACACAGAGAAATGGATTGGGCAGAACAACACCAGTAGATAACAATATAGTTCCTCACCTATAAATCATTCACACACAAAAAAGTGACATTTCAGCCATCATTTACTCACCCTCATGTTGTCTCAAACATGTTCAGTTTACAGGATGTCAACATTGCTCACACCAGGAGTCACAACAGGTTTGATGTCACTGATGCCAAGCGTCATTTCAGACTTACATAAAGCTATTGCGTTGTTACAGACAATTTGGAATATAGTGTGTAAGTCATGTTGTGTCCTTTGATGTTGATTTGTGTCATTTCTGTAGCTTGACAGCCCTTGGTAACCTTTTGTGCTAATGCAAATAATAGTGTCAAACACTTCTCCTTTTGGGTTTCACAGAAGAAAATGGGTTTGGAATAGGGATGCTCCGATCAGGATTTTTGCAGCCGATACCGATAGCCGATTTCTTGTCATGGTGATCGGCCGATACCGATCCCGATACCGATGCTTAATATAAGACAAAGATAAATACAAACAAAATGGAGCAGTCTGATGCAGCCCACAGGCTTAAATTAAACATTGTCCAATAGTAAACTTTGGAGGACAACATAAACATTTAATCACCTAAAATAGAGAAGTCATAACTTAAACCTTGTCCAATACAAGTCTGAGCAGGACAAAAATTAAATAAATAAATAATTTAATTGGAGTAACAAATTGGAGTAGTTTGATGCTACTCATTAGAACGGATGGGCATTTCGAGCAAAAATAATATTCGAAGATACTGTAGCTGGCTATTATTCGAAAATCGCACCCCTCCCCCATATGCAAGTACACATGCATAGGCCACAAAAGTGAGAAAAGCGGAGTGGTCTGACGTTTAGGCTAAATATAACTTAAAAACGTAAATATACATTTCATATTTGTTTTATATAATATAATGTTCTTTTTTTAAATTTCATCTATGTTGATTATATGAAAAAGGAACCGGATGAGATGGGTAAGATAGGATCATAAGATGCCCAATATATCAGGAGACATTTGGAGTGGGTCAGACATGATTTTGACCACTTAATTAAGTTTTGTTTTGTAGAAAGCCATTTTTTAAAGTGAATTTCGTTTTGTAAAAATTGTATCTTAATTTCAATCAATGTTTCATCAACCAATTGGCTGGATTTAATAAATAAGAAGCGAAACATAGCCCACAATATAGGATACGGAGGCGCCCGTGCGTGAACTGGAGCGCGTCTCATAAATGAACCGAAACACAGCGTATAAATGACTTGCCTCACAGACCTGAGAACGTATAGAAAGCTTGAAATGCTTTAAAAAAAAACATTCAAATCGATAAGAAATGGGGTACTCTGCTTATGTCTATCCGTATGAAGTGTGCATTTCTCTCTATAGGCGCGTTCACTACATGCGAAGATGGCGTCAACATCGCCAACTGTATCTTTGCAGCCAGAAAACACTAGTTTATAAATAAACAATTCAAATGTACCATGCTGCTTAAACATTACTTTTGCCGGTTCTTTGTGGCAAGCTTTATGCATGCGCTTGATATGCGGAATATAGGCAATATTACGATAACGCTCATTATGGTTTAGTATTTTCTCCCATATATATTTAATTAAATTAATATAAATATGCAATTAGACTAATGGCTTAAATGAACTACTACTAGTCAACTAGAAAAAAACTTTAGTCGTGCACGGGCAGCCCAATTTATTTCACATATTTCCTAACCAGCGCGTCACTGCGGGCGTTCTGAGCGAGCGGCGCTGTGTGGACTGAGCGAGCAAAGCATACTCTTCAGAAAGCTGATCTCTCTGGAGGACAATGCTCCTCCACATGAGATTCCTTTGAAACATACATGGCAAATAGCTGTTTCTCGACACATCATAGCAATTCCACACCGGCGATGAAATGACTGCCAAATCATTTAAGTCCCCACGCATCATGTACCTTCTCACGTTTTGATGTAGGCCTAATCAAATTATGATCGGTTTGTGAGATCGGCCAAGTTTAGTGAGTACCGATCGAGTCATAAAATGTGAAGATCGGCCGATACCGATCTCTAGCCGATCGATCGGAGCATCCCTAGTTTGGAACAATATGAGAGTGAGTAAACTTTCCCTTATTAGATCAATCATCTGTCCACTGTGATATGTTACCGCTGTCTATATACTGTGTTCACAAAAAAACCTAAAAAATGGAATCTTAGAGTTGAATTAAATCTTGTGAATCTACACATTGATATTTAGGAGTCATTTTCATTTGTACCAGGATGGAAAAGTTCTGGTGGCTGAACAATAATTGCTTGTTTCCATTGCATTAAGTTTGCCTGAAGGCACAAAACAGCAGCAACCTGTCCGAAATGTTTATAAATCAAGCTAAACTGTTTCTTTCTTAAGCTCAAGCAAGACAGTGAGCTAATTACCCTGCATATCTGAAAAAGGGTCTGGTTCTTATAAAGAGTGGACATGAACGGGACAAAGGGATGTGGCCTAGGCTACGTCTACATTAATCCAGATACATTTGAAAACGGCGTTTTCCTTCAAAAACGCTCTCCATCCACACTAGTGTTTTCCGATGTTTCAGTGTGGATGAGAAACTTTTAAATTCACCTTACTGCGCATGCGTGAACCCTCATTGAGATGATACAGATGTAAAAATAAATAATAAAGTTATCGCGCAATTCTTCTAACAGAATCATTTTATTTAGCAAAATATCTCACCATTTACTGATGCGTCCAGGTCGGAATCAGTCACCATATGTTTGGTCTAAAATGCAACTGCTCTCCTCTATTGCCGCAGGACAGCAAATGTGAGTACATGTCATCGCAGTGCTGTGATATGAAGAGTGAGCAAAGTAACATTTTAGCAACAGTGTAAAAGTGAATAGCACATAACAGGCACAATACCAGTAAACATGAATATCTATTGGTACAACATGGATCACATGACTAAACTTGCGTCATCATTTTCAAATACCTCCGGCTTCACAGTCCACACTACACTTTTCAAATTTATCCGCTTTGGAGAGCGTATTCCAAAAGCTATGTTTTCATTGACTTAAAATGGCGTCTCAGTGTGGACGGAAGGCCAAAACGGAGAGAAAAATATATACGTTTTCAAACGAAACCTTTTTTCAAACCTTTTTTGTCTCGTTTTGAGGTGTTTTTGAGAGAACAGGAGAGAGAACATAACCTCTCCTCTGTTCCTGTAAACTCTTTACACTATCAGAGCATCTGACAAATAAATGGTACTCCTGTATGGCTGAGTTTTTAAGTTCTTTTTTGAGTTGCTTTAAAGCAGTTGTTTAATAAAATAGTTGTTTAAAATTTTAGAATGTCTAATTCAGATCAGCCATTGTGTCACTGTGATAAATTAGCTGTAACTCTAGACTTCTGATAACAAGCGGTTCAGGTACATGCTGTCTTTGTTTACTGTGACAACATGTCCACACTCCCGGGAGCATGTTACAGGTTTTTATTTAACTTTAGACCATTTGTTGTTACTTGTATGTTTGTGAATACCCAAATCAAACAGCTCATCAGTTACTCACCCTCATGGCATTCATGATTTTGTTGTTCTGTATTTTGTAAAACATCTACAGTGCTCTTTTCCATTCAACAAATAGTGGAAGCTGATTAATAGTGTCAAGCTAAAAAAAAAAAACACACCATAAAATAAGTTCACACAATCCATTCACTATACTCCAAACTACTCGAACAATATGATATGCGAGGAACAGACCAAAAGTCATGTAAAGGTGCTGTAAGCGATGTTATGCATTATGCTAACGGCCCCTATCCAAACATAGGCAATGAATTAAGGCCAGTTCACCAAGAATGAAAACTATGTAAGCATTCACACCAACAGCTGATAATGTTTTGTTTATTATAAGCACATGCTGCAGATATGTCCTCTACCACTTCAAATGCTGCAGCTCTTTAAAGTCGGATGGATTTTGATTGGCTGTCAATATTTATATTGTTTTCCACAAGCTGGAAAAAAAATCTGAATGTGATTCTAACAATATTATTCCTTTGTTTTTAATCATTACAGCGGTTTTGTTATCATAACTATAACTAAACTTAGTTATATATGTACAGTTATCGACGTCCTTGGTAAGAACGGCATTGCCTAGTAATTTAGCAAACCCTGCACAACAGTTTTGATTAAAAGGAAGTTATAATGTGCGGAACTTGACTTTTTGATTAAGCATGCCGAATGGGTGGGGGGGTGGGGGTGGGGGGGGGGGGGGGATCATGTGTTAACAGGAATGTGATAAAAATGCAAACTTTTATTTAGACAAATTTAAGCTTAAACACTCAAAGAAATAACTTGACAGGTGTGGTTTTATTTCCTATGGTAAGAAAGACTTTCAATTCTAAATAGATACATCTACTAAAAAATAATGTAATTAACGTATAGATGACCTCAAAGCAAGGACTAAAAGCCACACTCTTCATTTTTATATCACAGTGATTGGCGTCTACAACTCATCAGCAGAGTCACTATGGCTGCAAGCACAACACATGCTCACACACACACAGCGCATGTGAATTGTTTCTTGAGCATAGGTACAGGTGGGCTGGTTCTCAATCACACACACTTACCCAATCCGGCCTCTACAGCCAGTGCAGTTTGTGTGCAGTCCTGCACTCAGGTGGAAACTTCAAAGCACGTACGCCACACTCTCACAGCAACAGACACAGAGCAGGTAGGCACCATCTGCATTCTTAGTCTGTTTATTTATTCACCAGAAACGGCAATCACAGCTGACCTGTGAGAAGAAATAACAGTATTTATTATTTATCATGCCAAATTAGTTTAGTTAAAATGATCGTAAACTTAAATTTGGCAGATAATTGATCCAGAGTCAGTGTTAAGATTGCATGGGTATTTTTTTCAAAGGGCACAAAAATTTGACTTTAGTCCTAAAGACCAGTCATCCTCCCCCGAAAAGAGAATGCTATTCCTTGTTTCCTGTTGCTGTCAGACACAGATCAGGAAAGAGTCATGTGAGAAGCGATAAATCTAGTCTGATAAGTTTTTGGGGTGTTAGAGGAAGGGTTGAGTCAGGATATGGGTGACACTCGAGCTGCTTTAGGGAGGACAAGTCTCAAGCTTTAAATGAGAGAGAAAAATGTTGAGAAAACATGCTGTAATCTAAGAAAACACTAGACTCGAATGACCCACAAGCACAAAAACATTCGGCTGTTTTTTAAACTAATATAAGGGTGTATTTTTTTCCATCTACTGAATTTCATACTTAAAAATAGATTTACAAGTATATTTGTGTAACCACAAATATAATTATCTTGTAATGTATGTATTGAGAAGTACATTTTTTGTTTGTTAACAAGCAATAATGCATGCTGTTCAACTTTTAGACTGTAATAGGGAAATTTCTTGGAACATCTAAACAGCTGAACGAGCATAAAACATAATGTTGCATAAACATTCCATGGCAATTTGTTTCTATTAATCGTCAACTAATACAATGCTGTTGTCACGTATTCCGGTGACATTAAAAATGTCAACATCTCGGTTTTCGATGTGTGCTTCGGGCAAAGATTAACGGAGCATGGCTAACAGTCCTTATGCTAGTAATAAAGTGGCACTTTAAGCAATGTGGAAAAGTCCTTACAAGGTAACCAAACAGCTTAGTCCTCATTTCAATTCCTCTTCGATCTCTGAGATTTAACTAACATGATTGCAAATAAAATAAATGTACTGCACCTGTAACCTGCACGTGCCATCTTCCAAGATCTTTGCTTTACGTAACATTAAACTTTGGGAGCTTGTGATGGAACTAGTAAAACTTTAGCTAAATAAAGTGCCTCTTACTTCCTGGGAACCGAGTAACTGAAGGTCATTATGGGTGAGACAGGGCCCAGGGCAAAGAAGTTCTGCTCCCCACATACAGGGTGGTTTCGTGTCACTGAACAGTGTGTATCTGCATCGACGTTATTTGCTTTAAGTGGGCAATGGGCATGTAATAGTCTTGTAAAGCCCTCGAGCAGTGCAGGAAACAAAGCGGAGGTAAGCTGAACTGGGACTCCGACATTTAGAACATTGCCATATGTCCCACATGAGCAGTTTATGCATATGACCTTCTCCCCTGATTGTGAGAGATCAATCTGAGATGATCGCACACAATAAGAAACTGCGCTTTAGACAAGTATCTTATAGAAATGACAATGACAGTGGCTCTAATGATAGCTTCTAATGCAATGTGCTCTGTGACAATCAAAAAAAGTTTGCAGACCAGACACACTAGCATTGATGCATGCAGCATTTCACTATTTTGTCCACAGTGAAGTTTATCTCTGAGTTAATGTAGTCAGGTCAAAACAGTAAACATAGCAGAGAAGGGGGCTGTTTACCTTTTAAAAAAAAAAAAACTTACAATAGTACTTGCGCCACAATGATTTGATAAAACATTGGCATCCTTTACTTGACCACATGATCCAGTAGCGGTGTCTGTCATGAGAGACGGTCATCTGAAGGACAAAGCAAAATTACACGATTTTAGTATGTATATTGTCTGAATCTTTGTTTATTTCAACAGTGTTTCACACAAAAGTGACCTGTATAGTAAATTGTGAAAATATCTATGGAAGCACAAGATGCGGTTTATGAGAAGCTGGTTCTGTCTTCTCAGTAACTTTTAATAATGTAACTGTACATTAAGACAGTTAACCTAAAGAATGAGTAAATGATAACAGACTTTTTATTTTATGTCATAACAAAATCATATGATATTTACATGTTACACTGAACAAGGACTGAAGCTTCAAGCTTTCACACACACATATTCAAGCTTCAAAAAAGCTATACTTTTGTGATATATTGCATGTCATACAATAGCTTTGTGTGGTAAAGATAAAACATTTCTGAAATTAATAATCTCCAGCAGGCTGTTAAATGCTGCTCAATTCAGGAACAAATTGTGCAGGGCAATTCGTGAACAAATGATAACAGTTTTTGTGAATCATATTAACAAATGTATTAAAAATTAAGAATGTTACATTCATGCATTGGATATCACTAATTTAGCAACCATGGAAAATGGTTCCTTGGTTCCTTTCCTTTTATGTTCTGCAGAAGAAAGAAAGGTTAACGACATGAGGGTGTTTGAGGTGAACTATTCCTTTAATACATTTTAGGGCCCTAAACTGTGATAAATTACCTGGGAATCAGTTCTAATTGAGCTATCTGAAGAGGCCATTGTAAATGTTGCCATCCTGGAACACTGTAAATGGTTTATGCACAACGATTGTCGTTAAGACATATTGGGCATGACGGAAGTGATGATGTGTAATTGGGAATGTTTGTGATACAGAGACTGCTTTGTGACCCACTCTAATGCTCTAAATGCCACAACACGACTGTAAAACTCAGTTCAGTATTCATGCTTTCAAGTTTACTATCAAATAAATCCATGTCTCAACGCAATAAATTTATTTGAAATGCTTTATGGTTTGCATTTTGGCCAAAAGTACATTAACAAATCTAAATCACAAATTTTAACTGGCTTTTGTGGTTGTCATTTTGTTGGAGCAAGACTGCAAAATGATGCTGTGAAATGTGTAATTTTTCTAGGTTAAAATACTTTCTCCTTTCTCAGTTTATTTATGCAGTTATTATTATTATTATTATTATTAAGTATTCTACAAGTATAAATAGGTAACTATAAGTATTCTGGTAGGATGGTGCACAGAAATTACACTCTTCACGCTTAAGGTCTAAATGGATAATAATAATAGTGGAAATTGAGTTTGCAGTTGTAATTGCATAAACTTATGGCATTGTTCTGGCACTTATCTGCATTGTTTTTTCACACAAACATTCAACAGAGACAAAACCACAGGGCCTCTTCCTTTTGTATCCCACAGTTCACAAGAGAAGATATTGGATGACATTTTGACTATTTCACATGATTACAGAAATATCAATCCATAATCTAAGTGGAACCTGCTGACCAGTATGGCTGGGTGGAGTATAGCGATCAGTTCAGAGGATGCTCACAGTGGTTTGGCTGTAATAGATCAGTCCACTGCCAAAAGTTCTCCCAACGGAAAGCTTCCATTCCCTTTTCATTTACCTACTCAGGGTGTTGCAGTTCAGAGATGCTTCCTTTAATGGTTAATGGAGAAAGCTCAGGACTCCACCCAGATAACAGCCTCTTGCATTCCTGGCTGAGCCCCCTTACCCTGCAGTAAGAAAACACCAAGCTCTTTATCAATGCGGAAATCAGAGAGAACAAAAAAGAACACTTCACCCAAGCAGAAAACTCAGTCATCATGCCACTAAAAGTTTAAACCTTTTTTCTTTTCTTTTCATTTTTACAAATTGGGGTTGGGTTAACCATTGCATAAAGAAGATTCAATTTAACCAGTGTAAATATTAGACATAAATTAAATTAAATTTTAACACTCAATTTAAAGCTGCAGTCCGCAGTTTTTCCTCTGTCGCCATCTCTCTTCGAAATCTGCAATTGCAGTCATTCGCGGAATTATCAACTTTACGCGCGCCGGTGTCGATACTGGCATTCAGAATCACAGATTATTCTTTTTGGAAGTATGACCAACATCATAATTTTCTCCGGAAAATGTCATCTGAACAAGTAAGTAACATCCACTTTTGTTCTGGTTCAGACATTGCAGTAAATCGCGCTGATTAAATAAAAAAAATCGCTTATCACGCAAAACCATGCAAATTATACTTTGTTCTCAAATTGTTAATGTTAACAACGTCAGCATTGCGTGACTACATGTATTGTCCTTCCGGTCATGGTTTTCGCATGGGTCCGGTTGCAGTCTCTTTTTTTCTGTAGCCACTCCGAAGCCTGAACGAAATCTTTTGCATTTTACAGCGGGTGAGTCTCCAGTTGTCACTGGTGATTGTCGTTTGAACATTTCTGGATCCGCCATCAAATTGATGTTTAATTATATCAAGTGGTGTGAGAAAAGGCTATAAATCTCCACCTCCAACATCCTCACACGCAATATAGCCTACTAGCCGAGACTCTTCTTTATGTGTACAGATGTGACGTAATGACTCAATATAGCCTACTAGCCGAGACTCTTCTTTATGTGTACAGATGTGACGTAATGACGCAAAGACATGCTCGAATCTCCCGCGGAAATCCACCAGTACCACTGGAAATAAAAACATTATTACAAGCTTACCGCTTTGAATCGAGCTACAGCAAGCAGATAGCGTAGAACACTGGCTGGTTATGTATTTTCTCAAATATGTATTTTGGATCATTTTTAACCCAAAAAAAGTTACAGACTGCAGCTTTAAATGATGAACAGCGGAACAGATTTCTGACATTCTGAACATTGGTAATGTTAAACACCATACAAAACCCATTTACTTCCACAACCTAAAGTATTTATGAGTGAAAGTAGATGTTCAGTAAGGGGAAAAAAATTGTAGATCAAGACTTTGTTTTATATCAGGAACTGATTATATCATGAAAAGTGAGTGTTGGAGGACATATCAGGATGGAGCCAGGTGGTTGGAGGGCAGGGACTGAAATAAGAGGTATTGGTTATATATATATATATATATATATATATATATATATATATATACTGTATATATATATATATATATATATATATATATATATATATATACTGTATATATATATATATATATATATATAATATACATAATGCATCAATTTATGGCACATACAGTACATTTAAAATGTAATATTTCAATATCAGAACTCCAGTCTTTCAAGGCTTCACAGTAGCAAATAACAAAATAAGTGGAGGTGAAACAACAGGTCTGATGATAAATGAATAGCATGAGATTTAAATTATACTCAGTACTTAAATTACGCACAAACACATGTAAAAATTACTCAGCAACCCAAGCCAAGCTTACGAAGAAAGAACTAAAAAGGCAACCGAGAATAGAAGATATTAGATTTCTCTAAGCACAACTGCTACACAATGCGGCTACGTTTCTAAGAATCCCACAAACTGGAAAGATCACAATGGTTTGTTGCAATGAGGTTTGCATCTCTAGGCAACCAATCTATTATGATAAACTGTATTGACACTGGGCAAAGGGAACGCTGAAAAAAAAGAATTACCAATGATAAACATTCCCAGATTGCCATCTTAAAATAGATCCGGGAAGCCAAAACGTACCAGTCAAACCAACATCCAACAACAATTCTGATGAAACGCATGAATGAAGTTCTGACTAAAAAAATCCACAACTGGAAAAAAATATAGAAAAATCTTTTTCTTTCTTAGTATAGACAATTTGTCAGTTACACAGCAGTAAGAGAGACAAACACAAATAATTGAATGGCAAGATTTTTTCAATGACTGTAAATGCCAATATAAAAAAAGCTGGCTCATCCTCGTCCAAAATAGCATGTTCCCTTAACACTGAAAAAGACTCTGTTTACACGTTGTTCATTTGGATGGAGGCTGTGTTTCCAGTGCTCAGCTGGAAGTACAGTACATGCTTTGATAAAGGACAGGGAAGCATTTAAATCATAGTATCTGTTCACAGTCCACTCCATGTTAAACACAGACGCTCCTATTATGGTAGTGTGGAAAATGTCATCATTTGTGATGCATCTATGTGGTTAGGTGTGCGAAAGCGAGTGCATGAGAAATCATGGGTGTTGTGTGTGTGCAGAGAATTTTCTTCACCAGGGGCAAAGTTAGTCTGGTCATCATTACTCGCAGATATGTATTTACATAGCCTTCCATTCATAAATGTAATGTGTGTGTTTTATGTGCATGGGTGTTCATGTTTGCGCTCGTGCGTAAAACCGCAAACAAAAGTCCGTACATCATCCAACTCAAGAGGGGAAAGTCCACGGCGTAGTGTTTCTGTTTAACGTTGACACAAACTATGTTCAAAAACAGACAAAAATGTCTACCGTTATACAGGCCATGAAGTGTCTAAACCTGTTCCAGAAAATTCTGTGCAAACATTTTAATAAGCTATAGCTAGAATTTCTTCACAACATGGAAAATATAGAGCAACATGCTTTGACTTGAGGTAAAAGGGGAAGCCACCTGTCAGCTGGTGTCTCACAGAACTACATGTACATATGTATTTGACACCCTGTCTAAGCTTTAAAGCCAGATTTTTTTCTCCCCCTTCTCCTTCTGACCCCCCATTTTAGAACTTTAAGCAGGGTACAATGTGGATTATGTCAAAAGATCCGGTGCCTGTTCTGCTCCAGGATTCCATATGGTGTCCTCAAGTTGAGCTTGTGTTAAGTCATCTCCATAAAATGGCCAAGCCACTGACCGCAACCCTTTTCTTGTTCCACATATCACCACCCAGCCTTAAAGTTGGCCCTAACACAACTGCGCTTGGTGCTTATGACCAAGAGACAAAGTATAGTGATGTTTAAAAAAAAAAGGATCTCGTAAAGGTTTGCAAATACTACATTTAGCATTGTGTACTAAAACACAATACCACACTGTGGGTAAGCCTTATTTACATCTTATATCAACAAAAACATCCAATTCAAGCCATATTTTACAAGATAATATGACACACTGTTTACTGATAAACCATGCAAACTAAAAAGCCAACCTACCACCTGAAAAATTTAACTATTCCACAGAAAAATAAAACAGGTAAAAATCAGAAGTCAATTTATATATACTGTAGGTATTTAGATGTCCAACACCCTCATCAAAATCCATTGAATTGTCAGAGGCACGCTTGACTACATGTAATACAACATTTTAAATGCCACCCATAACAGTTACTGTAACTAACATAGATGAGTTTAGTGTAAATGAAACATTAGTTTAGTGCAAAGAAATAGATCAAATCATGTGTTTTTGTTACAGAGTTGTGTAAGCACTGTAAAGGCCCGTTCACACCAAGAATGATGTCTATAAACACCTACAACGATAACTATATTAGTGTCCACACCAGCGGACGATATCATTCTGTTTATTCTAAGCTCGTGCTGCAGTTATGCCATCTGCCAGTTTTAAACACTTGAGATCTATAAAGTCTTGTGTATTCTGATTGGCTGTCATTGTTTTTATCGTTCATCAGCTGGAAAATTTTTTTTTTGTGAAAGTGATTTAAACTATATCGTTTCTCTGTGCCGTTATCGTTAGCTAAAATATAGCTTTGTTGACTGCTATTCTTTAGCATTTAGAATGATTTTTAGAACTATCTTTATCAGCCATAAAACGTATACATCTATGTGGTCAAAAAGACTCTGAATCTGGCGAATCCCCTAAAGGCATAATTAAGATTCTGTGTCAATATCGTTAATGCCTTGTATATTGACTTATCATTTTAGGCTGAGATTTAAGAATGCCCTGAGAGGCCATGCATTTATTTTTATTTTTTTGTATGTGCATTACTATTTTCTGTCTTATTTTCTCAGCACAACAAAAGTTGTTTTCCATGATCTCATGACAAAAAAAAAACAAAAAAAAAGTTTGTTGCTTACCATTTCTTTGGTCAGCCACAAACTATTTAATCTGTGTCTGTCAAACTTCATTCTATAACCGTGTAGACGTCTGATCCCTTGAGTTGGCTGGAAATTAAATTGACCACATGTTCAGAATCATATTGCGTCTACAACGATAAAACTTCAAGTTTCGGACATTTTTTGTTTTACATTGATGTGAAAATATCCATTCATCTATCTATCTATCTATCTATCTATCTATCTATCTATCTATCTATCTATCTATCTATCTATCTATACACAATCTCAAGTAGTGATCACAACAAAATAAGACAGAAAAAAATAAAAATAAAGCATGGCTTCCTAGGGCTTCTGTAGTGATGTGATTTGTATATATTTGCATGATTCTTCCAGTTAATGTAAGTGGAGTGCTATGGGTAACTGTGAATCTGACTTAGCATTTCTCTCATCTCTAGACTAAGGCAGGATGAACCCAGGCATGGTGCAGTATTCCGGAGTGAAGTGCAATGATGACATCCGTAGTGTCCTCACAGACGACAACTATTTCTCCAAGAAGAAACGATATGTAAGAAAAGATGGGAGCTGCAACATGGTGGTGCAACACGTTCCAGAGAATTGGCTTCTCTGGGTCACTGACATCTTCACCACCCTGGTGGAGATCCGCTGGAGGGTCATGTTCTTGACATTTGCTCTCTCCTACATTTTATCATGGCTCTTTTTTGGAATTTTGTTCTGGATCATTGCGCTGGCCCACGGCGATATGAAAGACCCCAACAATGAGCCATGCGTTTATGAGGTTCGAAGTTTTACAGCTGCTTTTCTATTCTCATTAGAGACCCAAACCACCATTGGTTACGGCTTTCGGGGCATGTCGGAGAACTGCATGATCGCCATCATCGTAGTTACCATCCAAGATGTCATCAGTGTCTTCATTGACACTTTTGTCATCGGCATTGCCGTCGCCAAGATGGCATCTGCCCGTAAGAGAGCCCAAACAGTTGGGTTCAGCAATTGTGCAGTGATCAGCTTACGTGATGGTCACCTATGCCTGTCGTGGCGGGTCGGGGACTTCCGAAGGAACCACATGGTAGAAGGGACAGCTCATGCACAGCTGGTACAGCACCTGGCACACAGCACAGGGAAAGTTGATGTTACATACAAAGACCTCAACATTGAAGAGAACAACATAATCCTGGCCACCCCAACAACCATAGTTCATAAAATCAGTCCTGGCAGTCCTCTATACAAGGTGAGCTTGCAGGACCTGAGGAAGGAGAGCTTTGAGCTGGTGGTCTCTTTCACCTACACAGACGACTGCACGGGCATCCTTCACCAGACACGCACATCCTACACTCCAAGCGAGATTCTGTGGGGCCAGCACTTTCAAGAGATGATCAGGGTCACCCGCAAGAACTACAGAGTGGACTACGCCCTGTTCAACCACACAGTTAAAGTCCTGGTCCCAGAATTAAGCGCAGAGGAGTATGACCTAAAGAAGTACTCTCAACAGCCAAAACACAAACCACTCCACATAAGTTCTCCAACGGCAGCTGTGGAATTGGTTAATGGGAATAGTCTTGAGGCAGAAAAAGCATCCACAAGCAGTGCTGTCCAAGAACACGAGCTTTAACAGTGGCCTTGATACATCCTGACTCTGCTATAGCACTTTGAAACGAGGCTTCCTCAAAGGCATCACTAGTGTAAGAAATAGGGCACTTATATATTAGATCTAGACTTACAGGTGTGCTGTCTGTCAGTTAAAAGAAAGATCTTAAAAGGCCCTTTTAATAGTATCCTGGACAAATAATGGAATATCACATTAAAGCCGTGTAGGTACTTTGGCTTTGACGAGAAACCATTTAGAGCACTACTTTTAAAGTAATATAAAATTTGTGTTTGAATAGTATTTTAATTATGTTCTATATTGCATGTACTATTTAGCAGCTTTGCACAAAACTCAATATCTCTTTGTACAAAATGCACACACGTCTGTACAGATATCACAGATTCAGTAAAGATTTGATGTGTATTACAGACTCCTCTATGACTTTGAAGGTTCTTTGATATTCAGATATATAAAAAAAAAAAATCTTGATTAAATTATTACCCCAAAACCTTGACCTACATAAGAGGCAATGGATCAGTTATGATGACAGTGACGTTACCCTGACCAAACTGTGGTCATTCAGTGTATCTCTTTGGCATTAGCTGAGGAAGTGCAGAACATTGTTCCACCTTATTTTGCAAAGTGGTTAACCTTTCCATCCACACTACTAATAAAATGTTTTGGAAAAAGAGCCCCAGTGACCATTTTCAATATTAACACAGCATGCATCCACTTACCCAAAGAACAATCTAACGGGTGATAAATTATCATTTAGATATAATTTTACAGTCTACGATGTATGACCACCCACCCGGCGATCGATCGATCGATCGAGTATATCCCTCTACTGCACGGTGTTGCCATATGGCAACATACCCTTTCTTTGGACATTTCTTGAAATTTGAAAATAAATATGAGCTCTGATTAATCTTAAATTCATGGTAGAACCTGGTGGTAACCAATGATATGCTTTGATGACATCACGACACTACACACACCCTTGCAACATCATTCTTTTCACACACTTTTGATGACTCCAGCTGCTGAAAAAAGTGCTCGTGTATATGTGAAGATTTTCCTTTTTTTTTTTTCATATTTCTTCGGAAAAAAAAATACATCAAGCATCTGGGGTAAGTTCTAATGTTTTTTCAATCATTGTCACATTGTTTTGATACTTATATTACCTTTTTATTTAATAAAATAGGTATGTTGCCATATGGCAACATTGTGCGGTAATGGAACAATATTTTGCCCATGCTAATGCAGAGTAGCTTTGTATGAATGACAATGTATGGATGCACTGATATAGTTGGATGGTTGTATTCTACTCATATATTTATATATATTTGTATATATTTATAAAGTAAAGTATAAAAGTAAAATATATATCCGTCTTGACCGCTTTGATCACTGGCCAAAGATGGGTGCACCAAAAGGAAGGTGCAAGAATCCTGGCTGCAAGGGCATCGTCAGAGTGGTTTGCTCTAAGTGCAAGGTGCACCTCTGCCTTAAAGGTGGGGTATGTGATTTGCAAAACGGCCGGCAGATTTTGAAAATACAAAACTCACGATGATGGCCCTGACTCCACCCACTCCACCCATTCGAAGAGGGGCATGGGGGAGGGGGCTATGGTACGACCGTTTGATTGACGCACTTACTGTCCAATGATTCTAGGTGGTCTTGGAAATGATTGGCTGGAGTTTTTCGAGTCCTGCCCGTTCCAAAGATGATTCAATTTTTTAATTTTCATGTCAGTGCTTCTAACTCAGTGGCTGTAAGTGGGTTAGGAATAGGATTTCAAGTGATTTTGAAAAAATTGTCAAAAAAGAAAATCACATACCCCACCTTTAACGAAGAGAACAACTGCTTTAAGGCGTTTCACATCGAGTAGTTTCACTTGAACAGTTCTTATGAGTTTGTGTCAGATGTTTTGTAAATGTTGTTGAAATAATACTTTGAAAATTAGTTTCAAATTTTGTACACAAAGCTCTTGAAAACATTTTAAATAATAAAAACAATTTCATTTCTAAAAGACAGGTCTGTAATCATCTATGAATTTCATGTCATTTTGGGAGAAAATGCATCAAGCTGTTCCATTGTCGCACAATGTTGCATTATGGCAACGCACCCAAAAGTACCCCCCCCCCCAAAAATAAAAAAAAAAGTTTATTTGAGTCTATTTTATATATAAAAAAAAACACTGTAAAAAAAATTACATGATTGCATAATAATGAGTGCAGTAGAGGGATATATTAAACAAATTGATTATGCAACAACAAACTTAGCATGTAAGAAAAGCTCAAGGTGTCCTTTTCAAGACAGACCAGGACTTAGAACAGTGGCATGTATGGTCTCAGAGATATTAACAAAAAACATATGTCTACTTACTACAATGAATAAAATTGCTGGGTTTTGGGAGGTTTTCTTGAAAGAGTGAAGTCTCCAGCCCTCCACCTTGTGGTTGGATGCAGTGCTGTCCAAGCATCGCCTTAAATTAGGCTGAAAGGTAAACAGAGGCCGGACAGCTCACGTACCACGTTTCACCTATAAATAGTCTGTATTATTTATAGACTTGAACAAGAAAGTAACTAAAATAAGCACTTTGCAACAGCTTCACAAATAAAAGTTTAACACGGCTCATTACTTATCACAAGTAAGCAATGTGTGACACGCAGCAGCCAGGAAGGGCAAAGGCCTGTGGAACACTTACTGCTGGGTTTTCATTGGAACGCTTATAAAGAAATGAGAAACATTCATCTGATTAAACAATACATGATCATTAATCTCTTTCACAAGGGTCTAATTCACAACAATACAATATAGGCATACATTCATTTTATAAGATGCTGGAAAACAAAGAGTAAAGCTGTGGATATACATACTATGAATCTTAGACTTGTACTATTTATTGATCATATTTTATAATAGCAAATCCCAGAGTAACATGTTTCAAAACTGCAAGACTTCAAAGTTTTGGTCAATGCAATAGTATAGACTAAAAGGCCACAATAGTCTTTCATGTTAAATTATTTTATACAGCATTTGTTTAGTGGAACAAAATATGTTTATAAAGAAGAATTTGGCTTAAAGATAAATGGTATCAATATTGCATTTGGTCTCACGACTATCAACACGTGACACATCTAAAGTGCGATTATGTTTGTTGTGAAAATAAGTTCCATAAAATCACAAACTAAACTGCAAGTCTTATTTGAGGGATTGGTCGTTTTCCCCCAAGGCGATTATTTGAAAACTATACGCATTTCATAGTTAACTCTGAGGTCAATCTCGGAATTACACAATTGTTTTCAGTGAAGTTGGCTTTACTGGAATTTTCACAGCGAAACCTGTCGATTTTCTCCCGCCCACGTCGTCCTGGGTCGCTAACTATGGAGACTTGTTTTCGCCACAGAATAAAAAATAAATGAGGTAATTGCAACTTTTTGTCTAACAATTCTGACTTTTCTTCTTTGCAATTGCGAGTCTATGCATCTTGCAATTCTGACTTTGAGATATTCAGATAGAGTCGAGATATAAAGTCCGTGCTATCAGAATTGTGAGATATAAACTCGCAATTGCGAGGAGAAAAAAGTCCTTTTATAAAATAAAAAACTTTTTTCTCCGAATTGTGAGTTTAAATCTAGCAATTCTGACGTTATAACTCACAATTGCTAGTTTTAAACTCGCAATTGAGATAAAAAGTCGCATATTTATCTTTTAAAATGTTTTATTTTGTGGCGGAAACCAGCTTCCATAGCTAACTGATGTTTTAAATCACGTTGCGATTTTATTTATGACTTGTAAACAGGTAATGACCGTTAGTTTTGTCGTAGTAATCTCATTGAGAAAATCGTACTGTTGCTAACTTAACGTTAACTTACCTCAGACAAACTCGACTTGTGTTTATCAGCGTCTATTTAACTTAGCGCATTCTGACAAACTTGTAACGTAACTGTGGTTGTTACTGAAAGTATTGTTTGAAAACAATGTTGAAACCTTTTTTTACAGTCTATGGTTGAAACACATACTTATGACAAAGCACACATACTTTTTAGACACCCGCAACCTTTTGTTTTGGCTTCCTTGGAGGGATTCAAGCCTTAAATCGCACGCTGCTGTTCTCTATTTCATTTTCTGTATGAGTCTGAGTGGAACTGTTGTTTTATCCGCGCGTGAAACTCTCCCTCTCGTCGGATTGGCCGGGTTTAAGAGAGGGGGCGTGACTAGCCGGTGCGTGTTGTTTAAATGGGTTTGAAGCCTAGAAGAAACAGCACATGAGTTACCGCACGCCGCATACAAGAAGAGAAACGTGGAGATTGCTGTTCTTATACTTCATATCAAATGCTATTAAAATATTACGTGGAGAGAACAAGATCAATGAGAAGACAGTGTGGATAGTAAAACCATTCGTTGGATATGTATATATGAGAACTGTTTCGTGTTCATTTTCAAATGGTAAGGTCATATTATTTGCTGAAAAATGTTTTGTTATTGTATGCCACTGTAAATAAATGTTGTCTGTTTGACGATACGATGTGTTTTGTGCTGTACATTTGAACTTCATAATCGTTAGGAATGATCTCGGAGATCTCAGTTATATTTGACTTTTGATAACAGATAATCTAAGCATAGTTTGTGAACATTATTGAGCTCTCTATTTCAATACTATTGGAAACCTGATCCCAGAAAAAGCATAAAAGAAAAGTCTTGATCAAAAAGTCTCAGTTTGAACTCAGTTTAATATTATTGCTGTCTAGGAGAAACACTTGAGACTTTAAAGAGTTTTCAATTGTGATCTTTCTTAGGGGATGATGAGGATTTGTTAATTAAAGTTAATTTCTGACCTTCAGGCACACATGCCACTACAATGAAAGACATGAGAGTGTGATTACTATTTGCTTTTTATTTTCTCTGAAGATAAATACACAAGGTGACACAGAATCTTAATTGTCTTATTAATTTAAGCACTTCTTAAGAAGTCCTTTAAAAGAAAGAAACTGAGGAATAAGGTTTAGGGAATATCTTTTCCTCCCACACCTGTTGACTTCTCCAAATGACAGACTTCACCCGCATGACAGATTTGCCTTATAAAACATATGGGGTTTAGTGCTGCATTGGTGCATGAAACACGTGACTAATTGTTATATAGCCTAGTATTGTTTTAAACTGAGCTCACTGTTGCTAAGTGTGCGTTTGTCTAATATATTTGGAGCACAGCTGCGCTCAGCAGTTGTCAGGCGTCAGTCGGCCGACAGACACGCAGATCCTCTTTTCTGC